AAAATTGATAGTGTTAAGGCTGTTGCGACTATTTTACCAAAATATTGGGTTATTATGACTTATACTCTTTAAATGCAACGTGACATTTTAAAAGATGTCAACTGTCGCTGTCATCGTTAATAAAAGAAAGCTTCCGATATGCGACTGATCTGCGAAGTCCTTGCTCAGTCGCCTGAACCGGGAATAGCGAGCAAAGCCTTAGATTATTTTGGGTATCATCAAAACCCAACATATAATGGTGGATTCTTATTTATGTAATCACATTGACAATTTGATTATTTAATATAATGTGCTTCTTCCTCAGGTCATATCCATCAATATGCTTGAAGTCTGTCCTCTGAATAAAATAATGCCATTCATGGGATATTACCTCAAGATGCTCGCAAATCTGAATCCACTACACTTTTGGTCATGCAATTGGTTGCGCCTTTTTGGTGAAAAAAAGCCATATATCAAATTTCACATCATAATCATAAAGATTAGAACTTGACTACAGTAACCAACAAAAATATATATTAAAATAATTTAATGTTTTTATAGGTAATTTTGTAATAAAAAATTATTACTTTTATGGGTGTTTTTAACACTATTATGATAATTATTTTTATAATTTTTCTTCAATACAAAAACAAAATTATCACTTTTGTGGATTATTTATTATTTTTGTTGGTATCTTTACCACTACTGTGGTATAACTATTTTTATTAGTTTTTTTTGATACAACAATAGTAATAAAAATATCCACAAAAATAATAAATATCGATACGATACTCTTTTTTTTTTGGGATATTAAACTGAGGGTGATAATTGGCAAAGATTATAAAAAACGTGTGACCTAAGAAAACATATTTTTGGATCCTATTGTACCATACATCAAATGATGAATTCATAATCAGTTCTTAAATTCGGTTGATTTGAAGCTATAAATACAAATCTCATTGGTTTGGCGGAGGATTACGGGTTCCTAGTGTGAGCAATCACTTATGGTTTGTTAGGCAAGGTAGATGAAAAAACGTAAGGATAAAAAGTGAAAGTGATACATTTTCTATTTTTTAAAAGAGAAATTTTTTATTCTCTCGTTTGTGTTTGACAAGATAGATAGAAAATAGGAAAATTTGATTTTTTGTGTTTAGTATCATGAAAAAGTGGAAAGATAATAAATTATATTTTACTATTATATCTATATATAATTAATGTATACATAAAATGTAATAGATAAATATGATATGTATATAGGTAAATAACATACATTTTAACACACATAATTAATTTTTTATCTATTTTTTCTTACAATTTTAGAGGAATTGATTTTGACAAGTTAAAAGAAAAGTTAATCCATCAACATTTTCTTCCTTCTTATTTTTATTTCTTACTAAACATGATATTTTATTTATTCTTTCAAATTTTCATTCTATTTTTCATTGTATCAAACAAAACATTACTCTAAACAATGGTGGACATGGGCATGTACAGTACAATCTGCCTCTTATGGAGAGAGAGAGATTGCTGCAGCAATACTTGGAAGCTGCATTTCATGGAAATAATGAAATTACAAAAGTGAATTTGGTAGGGTGGCAAGCAAACCCACCAAGTAAACAGAATATTAAGTCCCAAAACCTTAGGCAGTAGGTTCCAATTTCAAGAACCTGGGGTTGGTAGTAACATGCGTGTGGTTTTGGCGGGAGTGGAGTGGGGTTTGTTCTGCAAAGTGCTTCAAGGCATGCAAGTGCGTTAGCTCAATGTAGGGGTACCCTGTGATTGGTAGAATTCAATATTGTTTAATACATTGGTGTCTTTTGCTTCTTTAAGTTGGAGATTGAATAAATATAGGTGTAGCATGTAACATATGTTATCATCCAATGTTTAATGAAAGAAGGTGTAAATCCAATTATGCTCCTAAAAGATACAAAAATTCTTATTTTACCCTTTGAATAATTAATTTTTTCAGATTACATGATTAAAGAATAAAAAATAATATAATGTGGTCCAACATCTTATTTTTTATTTAGTTATCCGTCTGTTTTATATCAAATCAACCAATCCGAAATCACATAAGCAAACGGTTTCCCTCAATGTATTTTTTGGGATTTTTTTTATTTTTTATTTTTTTTGTATATATCAAACAAAATCAATGAATGTGAGTTTAATAATTTTAAATGAGATATGAAAAAAATAATACGATAACATGCAATTTGTCAGATTATGTGGTCCTTCGTAGAACGCAATGATGACTAAGGATTGATGTAATGAATTCCAAATAATTTATAAAAAATTCAGTTGAAATTGAATTTCATAACTGCAAACCATTTTAATATCGTACTATTTAGACTCGTAACTATAATACAAATAGCTAATATGCACAATTATTCACAGGTCAAGGGCAACAAATCAACCATAGGACGAACTTGAAACTTCGAGGTAATACATCAAAGGTTTCCAATTTCCGATATCGTTGATGATTTGTTACTTTTTTTTCTCACTTCTACACTATGGCTGCCCATCTACCAATTACTTCTGTAACGCCCAACACTTTTAAACTGTTTATTCATAACTGTAAAAAACATTGATCAGAATTAATAAATAGTAAAATTTGCACAAGGGATACCCTGATGCATCAAGAAACAGAAAACCCCAAGAGAGACGGAAAAGGTGCCTCAATTTAGTATACGAGACTCTCATCGTTGCAGGATATGAAGAGAATTAGATGTATGTAGCTTTTTCCCGAATAAGGAAATACTATTTTCGTGACTTGATTCCTTGACGCTTAGATCACAAGGGAACAACCCAAATGTTGCGCCAAAGTGCCTCTCTAGATCCTACAAACCCAAATCCTTTCCATTCCATGATAACACAAAAGGCCAATGATACAACTTTGAATAATAAAGTAAAACAAGAACTCTATTTGGATTTGGATCCCCTCCCACACATTCTTTTCAATTTCTCTCAACTGTAGACCATCCACTGGGGGGGACCCATTTTAGACTGTGGATCCCACTTCAATTCACTTGCATTAGAAGGGGCTCAAATCTACTCCACAGAACATCCAGAGAAACAAATAGAAGAATGTTCACATAATATAGTGATGCACTAGGCTTCAAAAGGAGCTGATGGTAGAATTTGTGTCTAAATAAACACTTGAACAATTCCTGGTATTTGGACATCTAGTATCTGATCTGAGTGAGCAGAGAGAGATAAGGTCACGACTTAAAGGAAATCGACTCAATAATTTTGCGAAGGATGGTTGGTCATGGAGGAGGCGTTTTAGTGACCAACATGCCAATAAATAGGTGAGGTAAAGGGACACCATGTGCAAGAGAAAAGTTATAATCAAAAGAAAGTTTCAAGGAAGTATGCTCCTAAAATAATTTTCTTTTTTTTGATTTGATGACGAGAGTTTGATAGGTGTAGTGCAAAGATAGAAAGACTCCTCCAAATAGGTTGTGGGTGAAGATCACAAACTGAAAATGTGCATATGCAGAATGTGCAATTCAAAAAGACCAAAACATAAAAAGAAAAAAACAAGCGTAATCTAAAAGATTTGCAAAGGAAGACAGAAAAACGCATCATCTCCTACATCCTCAAAGGTATTGATATATTATTCAACTCATCCTACTCCTTCGCTTTGGGCATTCTGCTAGGATTAGACCATTGCATCATATATCCAACAAATGTAATGTACCCAATATGGGTTTCCAAGGATAAAAAAAAAAACAAAGAAGTTTCTTGTTGCCACTCAATATAGGATCATCAAGCTAAATAATCAATCCCATTATCCACTGAATTAGAATTTAGAACCACAAGATGTATGAGGTATGGAAAAATCAATTATACCAATTCTTCTGAGATTTGACATGGTTAAGGCTCTGATAAAAATAGGAAAGGATGGTGTGTTTTGGTTTTTTTTTTTTTTTTTTTTTTTTGGGGGGGGTGGGGGAATTCCAATAGTTCACCTTGGAAAATTTCCCTGACAAACTACATCAGAACCTCCTTCACAATTGTCAGCCTGTGTGCATCTTGCTTCAATCTGGAATAACCCATATCATAACGTCTCTAATACCCAAATTCATGTTACAACACTCAGCCTCTTGACACTTCCACAGATATGTCAATCATCACTTGAAAAAGTCCAAATTATCTTAACATGTTTGTTAAATTCGTGAAGATCAGAAGCATGAGAATGACTAGTTGAGACTTGAGAGAAATATTGTAAAGCAAATGTTAAAGAGGAACAATGGGTGATAATTGTTTTACTTGACTAAATTTTAAGGGGCCTAAGGGCTTATCAATTTGTCCTATGAAGTTTGTCAACAACTGCAAAGCTCCAAGAGCATTGAGTCCTGCATCATCAGGATTTCACACATGTTGCTGCAGTTGCACACATAAATCATCCAAGCACCATTGATCATTCCAATAGTTAGACTATCAAATTCATGACCAGTTGGAAACTGGACAGATTTATAAAAACAACCATCTGCTAACAGCTGTCAAAACTCCTGGCTGTGACAGATATGTCAAATCCGAATATCCGAATTTCTATATTTACTTCTACCTCTGCATTGGGAGGAGGAGCAATGCAGAGGTAGAAGTAAATATAGAAATACTATGATTCATAACAACACACATACTAGTGAGGTCTGGATGTCAAAAGCCTCAATGACTTATTAGCTTGTAAGACGAATAAAAAATTATATATGGAGGAAAAAAATAATTGAAAAAAAAAAAAGTCAGATGAAACAAATGCACCACCGGAGATTCTAGTTTTATGTAGGCGAGTTTGACAAGACATTGCTGGATATGGCATTTGGGTATGTATTGAATAACATAACAAGGATGTTACAAACAAATTTCTTCACTATTTATTTCGTTGTATTTTTCAGTTTCAGGATAAAGCTAACCAATACACAGAGACAGAACATCACAAAAAGATGCGACTTTCAACTTGGTATGGTGATTTATAATCTTTGTTGCATATAATGTACCCATGAATCATACAAGAGAAACTCCACAAAATGCACATATTCTGTCCAAACCAGCAAAGACCAAAGAGTAATATCATCTTCTCGCTCTACAGTGGAAGTGATATTAGATCATGAACATAAAAAGATGTATACTTCGAAACCAGATATTGCAGACCCCAAAAGTCCAAAATTCTTATTTATATTGCCAAGCAAATTGCCACAACATAACAAGGAAACACCACAAGTGACATCAAAATAGCAATACATTTTATTCAAAAAGGGCCATAGAAATCAAAAAACAAACAAAGATTACCTCAGGGTCAAGAAAATTTGGTAGAATTGACAAACCCACTGCTTAAAAGCCTCTCCACATATTTCCCAAGTATATCCACCTCCAAATTCACCTTCTGCCCAACTTTTTTCAAAGGAATCACCACATTCTGCTGCGTATAAGCCACCAGCATAAAATTAAAGCACATTTCTTCATCAAACACATCCACCACAGTCAAACTAGTCCCATCCACCGCAATAAACCCTTTAGGCACAATATACTTCAACAACTCTTCATTAGTCCTAACCTTAACCCACAATGAATCGCCCTCTACCTTAGTCCCCACGATCTCCCCAGTCCCATCCACATGTCCCTGCACAAAATGCCCACCCATTCGCGTACTGGGCTTCAAAGCTCTCTCCAAATTCACCAAACTACCAGGTACTAATTCAATCAACGATGTTTTTCTTAAGGTTTCCGGGGACAAACCAACCTTAAATTCGGACAACTGGGTATCGAATTCTGTGACTGTTAAGCAAGTTCCGTTCACGGCAATGCTGTCACCGAGGTGGACGTCGTCGAGAATGGTTTTTGCTTGGATTGTCATATTGAAACTGTCGTCTTCGGTGAAACCCACGTGCTTGATCTCGCCCATTTCTTCGACGATGCCTGTGAAGAGGGATTTGATTTGGGTGGGTTGGGTTTTTTGGGGTTTGTGGAAGTGGCCCATGTAGGTGTTGAAGAGGAGAGAAAGTGGCGCTGATTTGAGATTTGGAGGCAGCTTGAGGTGGGTTTTGGAGGGGATGGAGAGGAGTTTGAGGAATGGGGTTTTTGGAGGGGAGGGTTTTAGGGCTTTGGACAGAGAGGTGATGGAAGAGGAGGAATAGATCGCCATTCTCTGTCTGATTCTAGCTAAGTCAAACTTGTTAGCGATTTAACATGTTTCTTCCTTGTTCTGCATATGTTGATTCATGCCAATCGTAGATGATTTTGAAATTTCGTCGATATATCTCTGTATAAGAAAATAACTTACGATTTAAATTTTAAAAATGAACAAAGTAATTTTTATTTTTTGGTTTAGATCGCTCTAAATTTTATTTTAAAATTAATTTAACAACTATATTAATATTCGAAATTTAATATAGAAAATAGGTCTTTAAATATGTGTTTGAAGTGATTTTTTAAAAGTACTTATAAAAATTATTTATCATAAATACTTTAAAAAAATAATATTTAAAATTGCTCCACCATTATCTGTATCACCACCACCACTGCCACCATCACCATTTGTCGTTGTCGTCGTCACCATCGCCACCACCACCGCCACCACCCCCCACTACCACTGCCACCGCCACCCCCCAACCATCACCACCATCGTCGTCGCCGTTGCCACCACTGCTATCGCCACCACCACCACCATTACCACCACCCCCACTCCACCACCGCCACTACCGTCCCGTCACTGTCGCCCCCACCACCACCATTGCTGTCGCCCCTTGTCACCATCACCATAATCATTGCCCCCCTCCCCCAACAACAATCATCAGTATCTCCTACTATCATCATTACCACCCACCACTTCTCAACTCCATTACAACTGATATTTAAATTTATTTATTTTTCTTCTATGTTTATGATTTATTTTTGAATATAATTACAAAAATATTTATTTATCATTTTTTATTACTCTATCCCTTCAAGCACATGCAATAACNACAAGATAATACGGGATAATTGTGTTGATTATTTCTTGAACCCATTATGAGGGGTTTGATCCCACTTTATAATCTTCAGATGTCTTGCGTGATTTTCGTCACATTCTCGTAACCGATGCTATTTTTGCGCAATCAAAATTGATAGTGTTAAGGCTGTTGCGACTATTTTACCAAAATATTGGGTTATTATGACTTATACTCTTTAAATGCAACGTGACATTTTAAAAGATGTCAACTGTCGCTGTCATCGTTAATAAAAGAAAGCTTCCGATATGCGACTGATCTGCGAAGTCCTTGCTCAGTCGCCTGAACCGGGAATAGCGAGCAAAGCCTTAGATTATTTTGGGTATCATCAAAACCCAACATATAATGGTGGATTCTTATTTATGTAATCACATTGACAATTTGATTATTTAATATAATGTGCTTCTTCCTCAGGTCATATCCATCAATATGCTTGAAGTCTGTCCTCTGAATAAAATAATGCCATTCATGGGATATTACCTCAAGATGCTCGCAAATCTGAATCCACTACACTTTTGGTCATGCAATTGGTTGCGCCTTTTTGGTGAAAAAAAGCCATATATCAAATTTCACATCATAATCATAAAGATTAGAACTTGACTACAGTAACCAACAAAAATATATATTAAAATAATTTAATGTTTTTATAGGTAATTTTGTAATAAAAAATTATTACTTTTATGGGTGTTTTTAACACTATTATGATAATTATTTTTATAATTTTTCTTCAATACAAAAACAAAATTATCACTTTTGTGGATTATTTATTATTTTTGTTGGTATCTTTACCACTACTGTGGTATAACTATTTTTATTAGTTTTTTTTGATACAACAATAGTAATAAAAATATCCACAAAAATAATAAATATCGATACGATACTCTTTTTTTTTTGGGATATTAAACTGAGGGTGATAATTGGCAAAGATTATAAAAAACGTGTGACCTAAGAAAACATATTTTTGGATCCTATTGTACCATACATCAAATGATGAATTCATAATCAGTTCTTAAATTCGGTTGATTTGAAGCTATAAATACAAATCTCATTGGTTTGGCGGAGGATTACGGGTTCCTAGTGTGAGCAATCACTTATGGTTTGTTAGGCAAGGTAGATGAAAAAACGTAAGGATAAAAAGTGAAAGTGATACATTTTCTATTTTTTAAAAGAGAAATTTTTTATTCTCTCGTTTGTGTTTGACAAGATAGATAGAAAATAGGAAAATTTGATTTTTTGTGTTTAGTATCATGAAAAAGTGGAAAGATAATAAATTATATTTTACTATTATATCTATATATAATTAATGTATACATAAAATGTAATAGATAAATATGATATGTATATAGGTAAATAACATACATTTTAACACACATAATTAATTTTTTATCTATTTTTTCTTACAATTTTAGAGGAATTGATTTTGACAAGTTAAAAGAAAAGTTAATCCATCAACATTTTCTTCCTTCTTATTTTTATTTCTTACTAAACATGATATTTTATTTATTCTTTCAAATTTTCATTCTATTTTTCATCGTATCAAACAAAACATTACTCTAAACAATGGTGGACATGGGCATGTACAGTACAATCTGCCTCTTATGGAGAGAGAGAGATTGCTGCAGCAATACTTGGAAGCTGCATTTCATGGAAAAATGAAATTACAAAAGTGAATTTGGTAGGGTGGCAAGCAAACCCACCAAGTAAACAGAATATTAGGCAGTAGGTTCCAATTTCAAGAACCTGGGGTTGGTAGTAACATGCGAGTGGTTTTGGCGGGAGTGGAGTGGGGTTTGTTCTGCAAAGTGCTTCAAGGCATGCAAGTGCGTTAGCTCAATGTAGGGGTACCCTGTGATTGGTAGAATTCAATATTGTTTAATACATTGGTGTCTTTAAGTTGGAAATTGAATAAATATAGGTGTAGCATGTAACATATGTTATCATCCAATGTTTCATGAAAGAAGGTGTAAATCCAATTATGCTCCTAAAAGATACAAAAATTCTTATTTTACCCTTTGAATAATTAATTTTTTCACATTACTTGATTAAAGAATAAAAAATGATATAATGTGGTCCAACATCTTATTTTTTATTTAGTTATCCGTCTGTTTTATATCAAATCAGCCAATCCGAAATCACATAAGCAAACGGTTTCCCTCAATGTATTTTTTGGGATTTTTTTATTTTTTATTTTTTTTGTATATATCAAACAAAATCAATGAATGTGAGTTTAATAATTTTAAATGAGATATGAAAAAAATAATACGATAACATGCAATTTGTCAGATTATGTGGTCCTTCGTAGAACGCAATGATGACTAAGGATTGATGTAATGAATTCCAAATAATTTATAAAAAAAAATTCAGTTGAAATTGAATTTCATAACTGCAAACCATTTTAATATCGTACTATTTAGACTCGTAACTATAATACAAATAGCTAATATGCACAATTATTCACAGGTCAAGGGCAACAAATCAACCATAGGACGAACTTGAAACTTCGAGGTAATACATCTAAGGTTTCCAATTTCCGATATCGTTGATGATTTGTTACTTTTTTTTCTCACTTCTACACTATGGCTGCCCATCTACCAATTACTTCTGTAACGCCCAACACTTTTGCAAACTGTTTATTCATAACTGTAAAAAACATTGATCAGAATTAATAAATAGTAAAATTTGCACAAGGGATACCCTGATGCATCAAGAAACAGAAAACCCCAAGAGAGACGGAAAAGGTGCCTCAATTTAGTATACGAGACTCCCATCGTTGCAGGATATGAAGAGAATTAGATGTATGTAGCTTTTTCCCGAATAAGGAAATACTATTTTCGTGACTTGATTCCTTGACGCTTAGATCACAAGGGAACAACCCAAATGTTGCGCCAAAGTGCCTCTCTAGATCCTACAAACCCAAATCCTTTCCATTCCATGATAACACAAAAGGCCAATGATACAACTTTGAATAATAAAGTAAAACAAGAACTCTATTTGGATTTGGATCCCCTCCCACACATTCTTTTCAATTTCTCTCAACTGTAGACCATCCACTGGGGGGGACCCATTTTAGACTGTGGATCCCACTTCAATTCACTTGCATTAGAAGGGGCTCAAATCTACTCCACAGAACATCCAGAGAAACAAATAGAAGAATGTTCACATAATATAGTGATGCACTAGGCTTCAAAAGGAGCTGATGGTAGAATTTGTGTCTAAATAAACACTTGAACAATTCCTGGTATTTGGACATCTAGTATCTGATCTGAGTGAGCAGAGAGAGATAAGGTCACGACTTAAAGGAAATCGACTCAATAATTTTGCGAAGGATGGTTGGTCATGGAGGAGGCGTTTTAGTGACCAACATGCCAATAAATAGGTGAGGTAAAGGGACACCATGTGCAAGAGAAAAGTTATAATCAAAAGAAAGTTTCAAGGAAGTATGCTCCTAAAATAATTTTCTTTTTTTTGATTTGATGACGAGAGTTTGATAGGTGTAGTGCAAAGATAGAAAGACTCCTCCAAATAGGTTGTGGGTGAAGATCACAAACTGAAAATGTGCATATGCAGAATGTGCAATTCAAAAAGACCAAAACATAAAAAGAAAAAAACAAGCGTAATCTAAAAGATTTGCAAAGGAAGACAGAAAAACGCATCATCTCCTACATCCTCAAAGGTATTGATATATTATTCAACTCATCCTACTCCTTCGCTTTGGGCATTCTGCTAGGATTAGACCATTGCATCATATATCCAACAAATGTAATGTACCCAATATGGGTTTCCAAGGATAAAAAAAAAAACAAAGAAGTTTCTTGTTGCCACTCAATATAGGATCATCAAGCTAAATAATCAATCCCATTATCCACTGAATTAGAATTTAGAACCACAAGATGTATGAGGTATGGAAAAATCAATTATACCAATTCTTCTGAGATTTGACATGGTTAAGGCTCTGATAAAAATAGGAAAGGATGGTGTGTTTTGGTTTTTTTTTTTTTTTTTTTTTTTTGGGGGGGGTGGGGGAATTCCAATAGTTCACCTTGGAAAATTTCCCTGACAAACTACATCAGAACCTCCTTCACAATTGTCAGCCTGTGTGCATCTTGCTTCAATCTGGAATAACCCATATCATAACGTCTCTAATACCCAAATTCATGTTACAACACTCAGCCTCTTGACACTTCCACAGATATGTCAATCATCACTTGAAAAAGT